ATGGACTCCACAGTTGTCATTTTCTTTTCAGTACCTTTAAACACAGTTCTATTTATTTCCCTTACAGTTTCCTTTAAGTTGCAAAGGTCTTACCTAGTGTAATTGTTGTTAGTTGCCATCGAGATGTCTTCAATTCATGGCAACCACATGTGTGCAGAGTAGAACAGTTACACAGGGTTTCCAAGACTGGGATTGTTTAGAAACAGGTCAACGGGTCTGTCTTTTAAGACATTTCTGAATGTGTTGGAACCATGAATTTTTCAGCTAGTAATCAAGTCCTTAGCTGTTTGTGCCACCCATATATAACAGGAATTCTTAATCAACATGGTATTTGCATGTAAATGTGCTACTTTTAGTGTACTAGATATATCCTAAGGAGTCCTGGTTGTACACAGGCTGTGTACTCAGCTGTTAATTAAAAGGTCCCTAGGCAGCATAGTGGTTACGAGTCAGGCTGCTAACTTCAAGGTCAGCAGTTTGAAACTATCAGCTGTTCCACAGGAGAAAGATGAGAGTTTCTGCTCCCATAAAGATTTATAGACTCAGAAACCCTGTATAGGGTCACTATGAGTCGGAACCAATTCCACGGCACACTACCACCACCAACCAACTAGCGGCATCCTGGTGTGGTGCTGTGGGATAAAGCACTAGACCACAAGTTGGTTTAAACCACAAGGTGGATGGTTCAGACTCACCAGCAGCTTCTCAGAAACCCTGTACAGGGTCACTATGAGTCGTGACCGACTCAATGGCACTTTCACAACAGCAGCAACAACTTACCCGTGGCTGCTAAGGAGAAAAGAGCTGGTGAGCTGCTCCCATAAAAGTTGAATTCTAGGAACTTTCTCGGGCAGTTCTACTCTTTAGAGTCACTATGAGTCAGAACCAACTTGATGACCCACAACAGAAGATAAATCCTGCTCTTAAGTATGCTGGAGGCGGTGGTTATGGTTCCAACTCATAGCAACCCGGTACAGGGTTTCCGAGGCTGTAAATCTTTACAGGAGCAGAAAGCTCCTTTTTCTCCCACAGAACAGCTGGTAGTTTCGAACTGCTGACCTCGAGGTTAGCAGCCAGATTCGTAACCATTATGCTACCAGAGCTATAGCTTATTACAGATGTCTTTCTATCACCATCTGTCTGTTCTTTGTATTGTGGTGGCTTGTGCACTGCTATAATGCTGGGAGTTATATATCACCACTGATATTTCCAATACTATGTTGGACAGGTTTCAGTGGAGCTTCTAGTCTAAGACACACTAACTAGAAAGGCCTGGTGATCTACTTCTGCAAATTTGTCTGTGAAAACCCATGAATCAGAGATGAACATTGTCTGATATAGTACTAGATGACGAGTCCCCTAGATTGGAAGGCAGTCAAAGTACACAGTGGCCACAACAATGGACTCAGCATGCCAATGATCGAGAAAATAGCTTAGAATGGGGCAACATTTTGTTCTGTTTTATGTGGGCATGCCACAAGTCAGAGCTGAGCCCACAGCAACTAACAGTAAGAACAGCACAGCTATCATTATGTCAACCAAGTCTGGACTAGCTAAAGCCTTCAGCGATAAAGGATACATGTTACTTTTGTTGAATAACCATAAATTCTGAATAGTTGATGTGCTTCTAACTTATAGCAACCCCATGTGACAGAGTAGAACTGACCCACAGGATTTTTGGGGCTGTGATCTTTAAAGAAGCCGACCATGAGCTCTTTCTCCCATGGAACTCCTGTGTGGGTTGGAACCGTCAACCCTTCAGCTACCATCTGAGCACTTAACCATTGGACCACCAGGGCTCTTTCAATCCAGAATGAACACACCTAAATTCTTAGAAATGTATTAGCGCTGATCCAAAGTATTTATAACCTGGCATGGATTTTGGATCCAACTCTCCAGTGTTATGCATTTTCTTTTCTCTCTCCTTTTCAAATCAAATTCATTGGCCTACTTTATTCTCTTGAAATCAGATTCTGCAGCCCCTGGCTTTTCTCCAAAAGTCTCTCATTGTTTCATAAACCATCCTTGTTTTCAGTTCCTCTTTTTTTTTTTATCCACTGTGTAAACTAGGTGGACCTGAATACTCAGGAAAAAATCTAAAGCATTTGGTTGTTATTAGAGTTAAAGTTAGCTGACTCACACATGTAAAACATTAAAGAAACCTTACAAATGTTTCAGTGACTTTTTTCTTTTCAGTTGTTGTTGTTTGGGGCTGTGGGGCATTTAACCACATCCTGTAGAAAACACAACACTTTATTAGCAGGTACAGTTTTAAGCTAATAAAACAAAGAAGGACAATATTATTTTTATTTTCTTTCCCAGCATTTTTATTGTTTTTATTTAAATGTAACATACTATACACTGTTCAGCCTTTTGGGAGGTAGGGGGAGGGAGTGAATCTGTATCTTTATGAGGAGTCTCCTCAGTACCAACACTCATATGGACATACATCTGTGGCCGACGCACCTTAACACTGTGGGCCGAGGTCCACACTTCCCACAGAGGCAGAGCTCCCAAAGCCTCAATTACTATTATTATTTTTTTAAATCTAAAACATTAAGGGCTGGTACTGCTTTTCTTACAGCAGCACAGTCCAGCTGCAAAGGAGACCAGAATTCAATCTCAAAATTGAGCAGAGATGCCATTTATAAATGCAGGAGAATCTCATTTCTCCTTAGCGAACTGTTTCTGTCATTATCTCTGTTGATGTATTAGTGGGAAGAGCGGGGGAAGGGAGGGAAATGTTTTCTATTTTTGGTGTCTGCAAGCTTTGATACATTTTGCTAGAAGCTATTTTAGTGTTTTGAGTACTATAATGATGACTGTTTACACATAGTCTCTTTGGTAATCTAAATGGCTATGTGAAATAAGAATCCAGTTTGTGTCCTATTTGCTGTTACCATGGTCATCCAATACTGTATTTGTCTCACCAAACATTAATTTTGGTTGTGGGTGGTCCTGTTCATGTGCTAGGTGCAATTATTATTTTAAAATGAACAAAGAGAGCTAGTTCTGATAGGAGTGCATTACATTATAGCTTTCTGACTTGGTTACCTACCAATTAAGTTTTAACATACAGATTCCAACCACAAAAATTACACATTTTTAGAATCCCATTTGTCAAAAAGCAAGTTGAAAGCCAAGTACCATGAAATGCAACTTTTTCCCTAAGCCAAAATACTGTGCCCTAAATGCATTTCTTTTGAAATACCAACATTTTTAAGTGTTGAAAAAAATATGACCTTTTATGGAATTATCTTATGGGACAGTTTCTTAATAAAGCTAATTTTTAAATTACAGATTAAATGGACATACCGATTAAAGTATTGATTCAAATAACTTGTGAGAATCACAAAACATCAGCTTTTCTAGAGGTTAAATTTCTGTAAAAAGACACATTTAGCGAGTTTTTCCTTTGTACCAAAATACTGTCCAAACAATAAAAATAAACAGACTTTCAAAATAAGAAATATGAAGATAAAACTGCAGCATCAATATAATCTTATAGTTATCACTTAAAGTATTTAGAACAAATAATATCTTACTACAATTTTTATCACTACAGACACTGCAAATAAGGCTTATGTATTTATTTAGTGGAATACAATGTGATGATGACTGGTACACTCGTATGTAGTGTTCCCTATTTACCTGCTCTAACAAAATGAATCTTGATATGGTTACATTATGGAATCTTCCAAAGGTCTTAAAATTTACAGAAAATAGTTTTATTTGGTTTTGTAAAGACTAAATCATATAGCTTGAACAGGATCCAGCATAGGGTTACACATATACCAGGTTATATTTGCTCAGTGTAAGTCTGTGGGAGAGTTGTATTACATACCAAATTCCTCTATAGTTCCTTTGGGGAAGATGCATTATGTGGGATTTACAAAGGGTTTTTATATATGCAGACAGCCTCTTCATAATTTATTGCTGTGACATATGGAAAAACATCATTAGTAAATAATGAGGCTAGTTTACTATAATATTTTTAGCAATTCATTTTCCTTCATTTACTAAGTTCATGGACGTATTGCAAAGAGAAGAATTTGGCCTTCTGGGACTATTTCTTGGAAAGGAAGCCTCAGGGGCAGGTTATGCTTTTAAATGATGGCAGGCACATCTCATTCAAGTCACGAGACAGCACTGCCGTATTTCTCATTGATGGATTTTACTGCAGGAGTGCAAATTAAGTCAACTGATAGCACATGGGGCATTCATACCACTTCCCTAATCTTATCTCTTATTCTTGAAGTGTTGCCAAGTTTTAAAAACATTTTGTCATGAACATGCATGTAGTGTGAAGAAAAAGAAAAGGTAAATCAGAGGGCAACTGCTGAGGAGACTCTTTAACACCCCAAAAGATATTTAACATCCTATTAAATAAATAACTTAGAAAGAAATAGAAAGGGATGAAGGCAGAATGCACAAGCATACCATACTATTTGTTTTGTTAGAACAGTTTTATACTAACATGTTTATATTTCTTAATCCTATCCAATTCTTCCATGATGCCACACCCAAAGCTCTTTGGTTGTGCATATGATTTGACCCAAGTGCTTTCCAGTAAATGCTTGCGTGTCTTTCTGCTCACTGAGTCATTAGGCTTGAATGAGCAATGAAAGTCTTTGATATGAGTCCGTATTCCATAAATAACTCCCCCGAAGATCATTCATCTGGTTGTCCCATGTCCTTAAAGTTCTATTTCAGAGGTTAAAAGACAAAAAACAAAAATAATAACTAAACAAAAAACCCAGCCATAATGTTGTTTGCTTCGAAATCACTTCCATCCCATTTGATCTGCTCATATCGTGATTATAAAGCATGACACTGATCTAATTTAAAGAACATCAAATGTCAGCCGTGAGTACAAAATCCTTCAGAATCTTCCTTTCTTGAAGTCAAGCAGACATTTGCAAAGTGTCTTTTTGTCTTTTCAGCTACTGTCTTCATGAAGATTACCAACTATTGCTGACAAAAGAGCCTTTGGTTCAACTGCATCCATAAGTATTGCCTTCTTCTAGGAGTGTACCACCATTGGAAGAAAATGGGCTGAGGTGTTTTTCCTTCTGGTTCTCTGTCCTCTCCTCGGAGCTCCTTTCCCATTCAATGCCACATACATTTGCCTCCCGTTGTGCTGCCAGTTAAAGGATGCATAGGTATTATATCCATTTTCCTCTATCCTCTCCTTCAGCTTACAGTCATTGTTAAATTCTTTCTGCAAAACAAAGCATGATATTTTATTTCAATAGTAGTGATATTTGATAGTACCCATTGACATCTAGAGAATGCCAGTTCTAAAAGAGCTTATGATGTGAACCCCAAAATGAAAGCACTTGTAAAATGTTCAGTTATCGTCTAAACTCATTATTGAAACTATGCATAATGGAAAATTTTGACTACAATTCTCCTGACACTCCACGCACACCCCTAAAGCATTTACCCAAGCTAAAATGATGAATCCAAGTTATCCCTGACTCTCTGGTAGCATGGTGGTTACGATTTGGGCTGCGAACTTTAAGGTCAGCAGTTTGAAACTACCAGCTGTTCTGTGGGAGAAAGATGAGGCATTCTGTTCCTCTAAAGATTTACAGCCTCAGAAACCCTGTACAGGGTCGCTATGAGTCGGAACGGACTTCATGGCACATAACAACAACAACTCCAATTATAAGTGAATCTGACATGAATGAAATGCAAGATTGTTTTACATCTTGTTGTTGTTGTTGTTGTTAAGTGCCATCGAGTCGGGTCCGACCCATAGCGACCCTGTACAGGGTTTCCGAGGGTGGGCCAAAACCCCATTACCATCAAGTCAATTGCAACACATAAGGATCACACAGGAAAGAGTAGAATTGTCCATAGGATTTCCACAACTGTAAATCTTTATGAAAGCAGATTCCCACATCTTTCTCCTGGGTTCAAACTACCAACCTTGTGGTTAGTGACCTAGTCTCAACCACAACACCACCAAATTCCTTATAGCTAGAGCAGTGGTTCTCAATTCGTGGTAATTGGACCAGTAATAGCAACACCTGAGGCCTTCTTATACGTACAAATTTTTGAACTCTACCAAACTTACTAAGGAGCTCTGGTAGTGGAATGGTTGTGGATCAGGCTACTAAACAAAGAGCAGTTGTTCAAAAAGACCAAGCACTCTGGTGGAGAAAGACGAGGTTTTCTGCTCCTGTAAAGATTTACAGCCTCAAAACCCTATACAAAGTCCCCATTAGTTGGAATTAACTCCATAGCACATAATCACCACTACTAGATTTACTGAATCAGGAAATTTGACATTGGGTCCCATCAATAAACGCTCTTGGTGATTCTGATGCATACTCAAGTTTGAGAACCACTGCTACTGACAGCCACCACAATCATTCTTATGATTGTACATTATATTTATACATTCAGAACAAAGTACATTATATTTATACATTCAGAAGAGACATTCCTTTATGTTTCCATGAAAAATGTAAAGATGTTGCATATTGCTGAGGAAACGATAAGATTATTTAAGAATTTTGCTTCACAGATTTTAATTCTTGGCCATAGATATTGTTATATGTCCTTCAAAAATGGTCTAATTAGAAAATTGTAAGATCTCATTTATTCACATATGGGTTCTAGATACACCATTGGAATGGAGTGAGTCCAGAAAAAAGTTCTAAACTTACTTGACATGTTCATGATCTCTTGGTGGTACTGGTAGAGTAAATAATATCCACATTAACTCCATAAAAGGGTCTGACTATGTTCTCATTCAAATGATTAATTAAGAGGTTGATGTTAGTTCCTTGATAAAGAGATTGATGCTTAGTTATGCACTTTAACATAGTGCTGCTATATAACTCTTGCTCTTTCTTTACATTTCACAATTATCCTGTAATTATGCCACATTTATTCATTTTTTTCCTAAATTTACTTTAAATTAATCCAGAGCACATTCCTTTCTTATACTTCTTTGACATCTCAAATAGCGTCTCTGGCAAATAGTAAAATGTTGATTATAATTGACTGAGCTGTTTAATTAAAAAATTGCAACATGATACATTGCTGTTCACTTTACAATTTAACTATTAACTAAAGTTACAATTAAGCACTTGCTACTTTAAATGACATCTTTGTTGTTGTTAAGTGCCTTCAAGTCAGTGGTGACCCATAGCTATAGGGTTTCCTAAGAGTGGCTGGTGGGTTTAAACTGCCAAACTTGTACTTATCCTACAGTGGATCTTGTTATTGTTGTTGTTATTATGTGTAAAGAGCGACTGAGGAGTTTAAATTGGTCTTTATGAGTTTGATAGAAAGTCACATGGGTAATACTCAAAATACTTGCTATGATGGATATACTGATTGGCTCCATAATAACCCAATTTCAAGAAATGGTATCTATATACATAGATGTTCAACTATAATATGAATTAACAATTACTGTCAAGGTAAAAAAACTGATTGGAAAAGATCTGTATTTGTGCTCATTCCAAAGAGAGGTGACCCAGTAGAATGTGGAAATCATCTGATAATCTCTTTGATAGCCCATGTGAGTAAAGTTTTACTAAAGGTAATACAGAAACGGCAAAAATCATACATTGACAGAGAACTTCCAGAGGTTCAAGCCAGATTAAGAAGAGGCCGTGGAACAAGGGATATCATTGCTGATGTCTGATGGATCTTGGCTGAAAGCAGAGAATACCAGAAAGATGTTTACCTGTGCTTTACTGACTATGCAAAGGCCTTCGATTGTGTAGATCATGACAAGCTATGGACAACATTGAGAGGTATGAACATTCTGAAGCAATTAATTGTGCTGATGAGGAATCTGTACCTGGACCAAGAAGTAGTTATTCGAACAGAACATGGGAACACTGAATGGCTTAAAATTAAGAAAGATGTGCGACAGGGTTATATTCTTCCACCATACTTATTCAACCTGTATGCTGAGCAAATAATCCAAGAAGCTGGGTTCTATGAAGAAAAACATGGCATCAGGATTGGAGGAAGACTCATTAACAACCTGTGATATGCAGATGATAAAAGCTTGCTTGTAGAAAGTGAAGAGGACTTAAAACATTTACTGATGAAGATCAAAGACCATAGCCTTTGGTATGGATTTCATTTCAATGTCAAGAAAACAAAAATCCCCACCACTGGACCAATGAACAACATTCTTACCAACGGAGAAAAGATTGAAGTTGTCAAGGAATTGAAGCAGCAGCCAAGAAATCAAACGATGTATCACACTAGGCAAATCTGCTGCACAAGACCTTTTTTAAAGTGTTAAAGCTCAAAGATGTCAGCTCGAGGATTAAGGTGAGCCTGACTCAAGCCATGGTATTTTCAATAACCTCTTACGCATGCAAAAGTTGGACAGTGAATAAAGAAGACTGTAGAAGAATTGATGCATTTGAGTTATGGGGTTGAAGGAGAATATTGAAAGTGCCATGGGCTGCCAAAACAACAAACGGATCTGTGTTGGAAGAAGTGCAGCCAGAGTGCTCCTTGGAGACCAGGATGGCCATACTTCGGACATATTTTCAGGAAGGACTAGTCACTGGAGAGGGATATCATGTTTAGCAAAGTGGAGGGTCAGAGAAAAAGAGAAAGACCTTCAGCAAAATGGATTGGCAAAGTGGCACCATCAATGGGCTCAATCATGGCAATAATTGTGAGATTAGCCCAGGACTAGGCAGTGTTTCATTCTGTTGTGCACAGGGTTACTATGAGTCGTTATGGACTTAGTGGCACCTAACAACAACACAACAACAAGGTAAAACAAAAATTCTAGTTTTGCTTGAAATTATGCCCACACAATGATGATTTTTTGTTGTTGTTGTTCCCCATTTCAGACGTGAAAAGAATTCAAAACATCTGAGCCTGTTTTATCTCCAACTGTAACACACAAATAGTGTATGGGTTTTGACTCAATTCAAGATTTTTGTTTTTAATGATCCTCTTCTAAGTTGTCTGTAGCTCTCCTGCCAATCTGAACAGATGCTTTCCGTGAGAGTCTGACTGGTTAGAAGTTCAGAACACTCACTGATGAATACCAGCAGCAGCCTGTGTGGTAGACTAATGGGTGAACAACAGAGAAGATTATGGAATTAAGAGAGCTGCTTTGCCAGCCCTTGAAACTCTGGTGACCAGCCCACTATGGCTCTATTTACTAGCAATAGAACGATAACAAAGCTATTCAATGTCTGGGGGAAACATTCCAAAGCTGTGGTAATGATTTACTGCAGTGTATTTTGAAAACAAAGCTGCATACTTACTGAGCCATAGAGTTTCCCCTTCTTGTTCATGGCTAAATAATAGTTGCTGTTAATGGCTTTGACTGCAACCACCCCAATTTCCACTGATGTTATCTCCAGGATGCCTAAAAAAAAAAAAAATTTAAAGGTTGAACATGAAGAGTTGTATAAGTTTAGTTAAAAGAATTTTAAAAACTTATTAAATCCTTTTTTTTTTTTAATTGTACTAAAAACCTCTTTCAGTGTGCCTAAAACCCCAGCAAATATGTGGAAATAAGTAAAAAAAGGTTTCAGTAGAATTCTCCTTCATTTCACTCTGAGCATATAGGGGAAATATTGTTTTAATTAAAATGCTTCCTTTGCTAACTCTGCATTTTCAAACCCATAAATATTGAAACAACTCTACTCATCTTAACCTAGATTTCTCAAAACCTTATCAGAGGCCACATCTGTATCACGGTATTAAATTAAATCTAGAGCATATGTCAATAATATGTCAGATTTACCTCAATCTGCAAAAACAGTGGTAAACTATTTCTTCATTGTAAGACACTTAGATAAACTAAATCTCTTGGCTATAGTTAGCTGATAAATTCACTTTTGGCAAATGTGTTGACATTCGGAGATACAGAAAGGCTAATCCCAGTATCATGTCCACATTGTCCTTAAAATAGCAGAATCACACTACTTTGAGTTGAGGAAAATATCCATCAGCATTATTATTATTATTTAGAAAAATAGGAAAACCCAGGCAATTAGCAACTAGTAGACTAGTGGCACCTGACAACAACAACAAGACTAGTTTTGTTGTTGCTGTTGTTTAATTTACTTTTATAAAAGTATTGATTTGTGTATCTAAATAGAATTCTTCTCTGAAAGGTTTTCAGTGTCCACTCATTTTAATTTACTCAGCATCTATTCATTTTAGATTATGAAGGCCTGAGGAATGAAAATTGCTTATTTTCAAAGCTTGCTCAGGAGACAGAAACAGTGTTGTGGACTTTGATCAGAGAGTCTGGCTTTACATCCTGGTTCTGCATTTATTGATGAATGACAACATAAGAAGGAACCAAACATCCCATGCCTCAATTTCATTTGTACAATAAGCAGTATAGTAACGCCTCTCTCAAAGTGTTGCTGTGAGTATTAAATGAGATAGTACAGCAAAATGATTTCAACATGCCAAGAGCTAGTGCCTTCCTAATTACAAAAATAATACTTATTTTTATATTTTATTTTAGTGTTGATAGTTAATCCAAGAAGAATGAAGTCCTTGGCAACTTCAATCATTTCTTCATTGATAAGGATATTATTTATTGGTCCAGTGGTGAGGATTTTTGTGTTAATTACATCGAGATGCAATCCATACAGAAGGCAGTGGTCTTTGATCTTCATCAGTAAGTATTTTAAGTCCTCCTCACTTTCAGAAAGCAAGGTTGTATCATCTACATGTCACAGGTTGTTAATGAGCTTATAGTTGTGATTATTGTGTCAAAATTGAGATACTGAAGTTATACTACTCACAGACCAGATGATAAGGTAACAGAGTTTAGTCATGGTAGACCCAACACCTATGCCTCTGACTCTCAGTCATTATTTTGCCTTTCCATCAAACATCCTCCTTCAAATTTGCCAGGGAACACTTTTGGAAACCGTTTCATAAAATGATTAATCAAGATAATAATTTTAAACAATTTAATATGTTATCCCTTCCAAGAATGTTGTCATTTCACAGAGGATAATATCTGAGACTCAGAGAAGGAAAATCTAATTTATGTGACAAACAGATGATAAAAAGTAAGGCCTAACTGAAACTTACTGCCATTCGGACTCATAGGGACGCTGTATGAATAGGTTTCTTGGGTGTAAAAGGAGAAAACTTCATCTTTCACTCAAGGAGCAGCTGATGAGTTTGAACTTCCAACCATGCAGGTAGCTAGCCATTTGGAGCAAAATATTTAGACTGCTGCTTTCTTTGCCTGACTAAGTACTGTTAGTAATTTGCATTGTATACTTTTATCTTGGAAAGTTGCTAGAATAAAAAGAAATGAAGGATCATTTTTGCAAAGACTAAACCAAATCTTTGGGTGATGATGAAGAAGTAGTAGGATTAAGTTATAGCAACAAACCGAGTTGACAAAAAGAAAAACATAATGGAAATATTAACAGATCCTTGTTTGATTATTTCTAAGAGATAATACACATGAGAGATCACATTCAGTTTGAATATTCCTGAGTTTCTTTCTGTCTTGCCCCATAGCTAAAAACTCAATATTCAAAAAAAGCAATCAATCTATTAACTTTCTCCTCCATTCCTCAACCAGTTATGGCTAAGCTGAAAAGGTTTATTATTAGTTTAAAATAGAAAGAGGGAAGACCTAAATGATTTAACAGGGTCCTTTTGCATTCTGAAAATAAATTATTTTGTATGTTACATAAGTCAGTAAGTTACAATTCGATAATCTTGTGGGTAATGGACAATGACTTCATTGATTAGAAACATCTGTGACTGTTAAAGTGGCTTTCAAAGGGACTAAAGTCTGGAGGACGTTTGTATTTTTCATAAAAGATCTCTCCAACAGTTTTCTCTGCTTTTTAGTAAGGATGATCAGGTTTGCCAATAAAAGTATTTTGGAAAAGAGTGGTAGAATTTAGTTTGAGGATAGTTAGATTAATAATAGGATTAGTTCGATTAATGTATATTTTGATGGAAATTAAATGCAAATTGAAGGATAGTATCCTGGGATCCAACATTTGTGGATGAGCTATCAATTTAATTTGACTGAGGGCCCCTTTCCATTAGCACTAAAATTTTCCTAAAAAACTCATTCAAATTGATTTTAAAAACAATCTAGTAAATTGTCCTGTTCAGAATTATTCCTTAGTAAGAAACAATTAAGCCAACATATGCTCTCAAAGCTAAATGGCATTTAAAAATTTATTCTGAGATTTGGAAAAAAAAAAAAAAAAGTGTTGTTTTAATGTATGGCAGGCACACAAAGCCGCACATGTGATAAAATTGCATAGAATTGAACACGCACACAAAAATGAGTCTGTATAAAACTGTAGCAATCTGAATCAGGTTAGTGGATTGTATCAATGCCAGTGTCTGGGTTGGATATTGTTCTATAGCTAGGCAAGGTTAATGCACTGGACTGTAAAGTAGTTTGAACCGCAAGGTCTGTGGTTGAAGCTCACCAGTCGCTCCTTGGAAACCCTACGCAGGTCAGCACTTAACCACCACAACAATCTTTCTTACAACGGTATGTGAATCTGCAATGATCTCAAAATAGAAAGTTACCTCACGCTATTAAGAATGCAAAGGTAAACAAGACACAGTCATTGTTTTCCAGAAGTTTTAAACTAGGTAAGTTACAGACAGAAAAGAATAATTCAAATACAAAGAATATATATTGAGAGCTATATAAGAGAGAAATTTTTATGCTATAACTAAATAGTAAACAAATCTTTCTGAACACTTGGTATTTATGTGGATTTTTCAGGGATAGTACTTTAGTAGTTGGGGGAATTTGAAGCATGAGAGGAACACTACAAGCAGAGACAATGAATGAGTAAAGAAAGGTAGGGAGAGGAAGAAAGAAATCAGTGTGTGCTTGGGTCACTAGTAGTCCTCTTTGTCCCTCATCCCAGTGGCACTTTGTGTTGGTCACTCTAGCTAAAACCAAGAGCCCTGTTTCTGTGCCACAGTATTGCTTTACCACAGTGAGGAAGGAACTTTTCAAAAAGATTATTGTGAAATTGGAAGCAACCCAATAAATGTCAGAACCTCATGAATTCACAATCAGTTGTCTGTTATTTTCCCTTAAACAGTTTAACTCAGAATATATTCTAATACTATATAACTTGATTTGTTGTTGTTGTTAGGTGCCATCGAGTCAGTACCAACTCATAGTGACCCTATGTACAACAAAACAAAACACTTCCCGGTCCTGGGCCAACCTCACAATTGTTGTCACACTTAAGCCCATTGATGCTACCACTTTGCCAATCCATCTTGCTGGGGGTCTTCCTCTTTTTCTCTGACCCTCCACCTTACCAAACATGATATCCTTCTCCAGTGATTGGTCCCTCCTGACAATATGAAGTATGAGAGATGAAGTTTGACCATCCTGGCCTCCAAGGAGCACTCTGGCTGCACTTCTTCCAACATAGATCTGTTGGTTCTTTTGTCAGCCCATGGCACTTTCAATATTCTCCTCCAACACCATAACTCAAAAGCATCAATTCTTCTATGGTCTTCCTTACTCACTGTCCAGCTTTCACATGCATATGAGGCTTTTGAAAGTACCATGGCTTGGGTCAGGCACACCTTAGTCCTCAAGCTGACATCTTTGCTCTTCAATACTTTAAAAAGTTCTTGTGCAGCAGATTTGCCTAATGCAGTACGTCGTTTGATTTCTTGACTCTGCTTCCATTAGTGTTGATAGTAGATATAACATGATAGCTTTTGTCAATGTGGTAAAATACGTCGTGGTTGTTGTTGCTAATTGTCATGTTGATTCAAACTCATGGTGACCCCATGTCACAAAGCAGAACTACTCTATAGGGTTTTCTTGGCTATAATCTTAATGAGGTGTGGCTCTGCAGGATAATGCACTGGATCCCAAGGTTGGTTTGAACAAGGTCAGCTGTTCAAATCCACGAGCTGCTCCTTAAAAAACCCTACACAGGATCACTATGAGTCAGAACTGACTTGACAGCACTTAGCAACAGCAATGACATTTTTAATGGACGCAGATTTCCAAGTCTATCTTTCACAGTCCTGTTGAGTGGGTTAGAACCACCAGTAGGTTAGTAGTCAAGCACAAACCTTGATCCCACCTAGGGTCCTTATATCATGATACTATAATGTAGTGTTGCTGTTGTTGTCGTCAGGTGCCATCGAGTTGGAACCGACTCATAGCGACCCCATGCACAGCAGAACGAAACAATGTCAGATCCTGGGCCAACCTCACTACCGCTGCCACACGTGATGCCATCAATGATGCCACCTGGCTGATCCATCTCGTTGGGGGTTTTCCTCTTTTTCTCTGACCCTCCATCCTACCCAGCATGATATCCTTATTATTAAAGACTTTAGTACACAATAAATACTAAAGTCTTT